CTGATGTGCAGGGCAAGACGAGGAGCATGCGGTGGCAAACAGATGTACAAATGAGGGTCTGCAACTGGGCTGTGGCGGAGGTCGAGGTTGAGGGGTGCTCATGGCATCTTGCACTGTGGCAAACTGTAGCAAAATTCTTCATCTATGATTTAGTGCGTTTTGCACTTCAACGTGTTGGTTGTGAAATATAATTTATGTTTCTAGATTACATAAAAAAATAAATTAATTAAAAAAAAAAAAAATAAAAGAAAAATATTTATAAAATATTTCTTTAACTTCGTTAGTTGACCTTTTAAAAAAAATGTATTAATGCTAAGAAAACTGAATTCTCGTATTTTTTCTATACTTTTTCCTAGCAAATTATGAGATAGATACAAAATCAAAGAAAGTGTTCTTCTATTTTATTTTGAATTTGGAAAAATACTATCAATCTTGTACACATTCTTAATAAAATAAAAAACTAAATAAGTCATATGTATGAACTGCGACAAAGTCATTTTTTAAAGTGCAGAAGGAATGCAAAAACTGCAGTGAGGAAAACTTAAAAAAGTAAGGGATTCCGGGGCCACATTCTAAATCAGAGAGAGGCACACGCTTTCTTTGGCTTTTGTTTGCTGGCCTTTTTTCATTTCAACAATTTCATTTTCTTTTTTCTATGGCGCCAACTTTGAAACATGTGATATTTTTTTTTTTTATTTTTGCAATTTTCCACTCACCTTATAGACATCGCCGTAGGTGCCAGAGCCAATTTTCTGGATGAGCTCGTACTCGTCTTGCGGATTTCGCCGAGAAATGTCCGAGCTGAGCAGATTGGCATTGTGGTGGCTGTGGGCGGCGGCCATCTTGCCAGCTTCCGTATCCGTTTGCCGTTGCCGTTTCCGCTTCCTGTTAGCCGATCGAGTCCTTTGCTCTAGATCTCTTTTTACTCCCTTTTTGATACTCTTTCTTTTTGTTTTGCACTCTTTTTTATTGCCGATTTACTGTTTTTTTTTTTCGTTGGAACTTTTTAGCACTCGTGGCTGGCGAATTTGAGATACTTTTTAGGATCGAGATGCATTTTGGTCGCTTGGAATCACACACAAATTACGTAAGGTTAACTGGACTTTGGATATATGTATGTAATATATATATATATATTGCTAATGATTCAGATTCCGATCGGCCAATCTAGAAGCACACACGAAATTAGAGAAGCGCGAATTATGACGCAGAATAAAAGGGGGAACAAAAAAAGAAAGGAAAACGATGAAAACAAAAAAACAGCAAATAAAACAGTAACAACAAATTTTGATAAAAAGCAAGGCAAAGGGGGAGGTGGAGAAAGCGCGGGGGTGGGAGTGAGAAGGCGAGAGAACGTCTCGTTTTTTATCCCCTCTCCCGCTCGCTCTCTTTCTGTCTATCTCTTTCTCTTTATTCTCCTCCTCTTCTTTGTTTCCCAATGCGATTGCACTTTAATTATTATTTATTAGAATTTATGAAGAGCACTTTTGTTTATGCCACTAATTGGCCAAATAAATAAATAGTTGCTGTGCTGCCGTACAAAAAACACACACGCGACAACAACAACAACACAAACAACAACGCGAGGCGTGTCGCTTTGTCGCTCATTCGTCTTGTTGTTGCTGCATTTTGTATTTTATTTTTTGTTTTGTTGTAATTTTATTCCGATTTTGATTTCTGCCAGGTGAGCTAAGAATCGCGCAAGATAAAAGGCACAAACCGTTCACATTTCACACGGACACGTGATTGCGGGGCAAATTCGGCCAGTGGATAATTAACAATTGTCCTACGAACGAAAAATTCGAACGAAATTCGTCAACGCGCAGCCCACAAATGTTGTTGTTCCTCTCACCCCTCGCTAGCGATGACACTTTGACGCTCGGGCCATCGATAGTGGACCGAGATGGTGGCAGCTCTGGCATTTCGATTGTTGTTTGCGGAGATATCGATTTTAGCTGATATCGATGGTGCTGCCACATTTTCACATTTCAAATTTGCGGATGGATATCGGAATTTTAAACGGTTTTTACTTTGAATTATTGGTATATTTTTTATGTATACATTTGGTTATTAAAACTTGTAATATTATTTTCATATTTTATGGAATCTTATCTTCAACTTAAAGCTATTTATAGTTACTAAAACTATAACTAAAAGTAACAAGCAGCTCAAAAGTTTAGTATAATATTGAAATGAGTGTGGTATACTAACTAGCATAATAAAGATTTTTGTAATGGTTTACCAAAGCTCACGAAAAGGAGTACAATTTTCATTATTTATGTCTTTGTACTGGTTAAATCAATAAATCATTACAAAAGCACTACAAAATAAAAAAAAAAAAAAAAAAAAGGAATAGATTATAAATAAATTCTTTTTCTTAAGCACAACATTAAGTACAACAACTGGCGATAAGAATATGCCGAGCAACAGCAAAATATAGCAGCGCTGCAATAATCAACTATAAAACGAGGATTAATGCAATAAGTGCAATCAATTGAAGCAGTCATGAACTGCAAGTGGCATCTGCTGGTTGCACTCTTGGTGCTGATAGATGTCTGTCGAGCTGAAAGCCCCGAAAACCCCTGCAACGCGGTTATGTGGAGTGAACCCCGCGTGGTGATGGTCGGTGGTTCCATCGAGATATTCTGCAGGTGTAACAGCTCCACGGTGCGATCCCAGGATATGAGCCTTAAGTATTGGATTTGGGAAAGTGCAGAAACGCAGCCCGTCGACGATGTTACCATCAAGTACAAAAACGAGAACGTCGAAGAGTCCTTTTCGTTGACTTGGTACTGCTTTAATAAAAGAATGCGAGTAGCCACGTTTCGTGTAAAATTAGTGCCATTATTAAAATTTGTGGAAATGAAGTGTCGTTTCCAAGCAAATGAAACTGAATTAGCATGCGATTATTTAGAGGCGGGGGACACTATGCTAATGGAAAACAAAAAATACTTCTTGAGCGTCAATCGATCGCCACGCGTTCCATGTTTCAAAAAGGATTACACGTTTCATTGTGCTGGAATACCCATGAATAGAAGCAAAACTAAAAAATATCTCGTAAAGTTGGATTTCGAGTGCGAAGGATATAACCAGACCAAGGAGATAGAACTTGATTATAAACAAGTCGAGACCCCTGACTGGCCCACGGGTAGAGTTCATATCTATGCCGATAACAAAATAAATGTTTTTTGGCCCAACAGTACTGAGAGCTCTCAAAAGTTGATGTGGCATATTCAGTATTTGGCAAATAACTCTAAGATTTCACAAATTCAGGAAATGGAAGAAATGGAGGGGAGGCCTATATATCAATTTGAAATGCCTTCATTTGCTTATCAAACCTATAAGTTGCGTATTTCTCGTCGTTATATTGCTTGGGGATCTCCCAGGTCCTCCGAGGTCGAAACTGCCGAATTTGTATCGCCGGCTACCTTACCCAAACGACCGCCTAATGTACTGCCAAATGGATTCTATCATGAACCAAAAATGAAGTATCTTTATGTATATTGGATCCATCTGGGCGAATTGGAGCTCAACGGACCCAACTTTACATATCACGTAGTTACGGACAAGGGGTAAGCTTACTGAGTAATTCTTGTTGTAATAAAATTTAGTAAAACTAAATTGATGCTCCTTTCTCGAGTTCCAGTTAAGGTTAGAGTTCGAGAACAGCTAAACGCCAGAAAAACTTGCCTTAACACAAATCCGATTTCTCAACTTCTATAATTTATCTGTATTTTTATCGGGACGATAAGTACTTAACCTGCAGAAATGGTACCTGTTGAAGTTAACTCTTACTGAGTTCCTTAAGTAAATCAAGTTTTCTTAAAAGGCACTTTATCAGCTTGATGTTTATGCTTGCACACACTTGAGAAATCTTTGTCCAGACAGAAATTCTTTCTTTATAAATACCCGTTATCTAAAAAAATGAAAATTACCATACGATTTCCAGGAAGACAGCCATGATCGTGGGCAACAACTCCGCACTCTTTCGAGATTGGGACGACACCCATCCGGCTACAGTGACTATTTGGAGCGTGAACTCGAAGGGAAGGTCGAGAAATAGCAGTGAACTACAAGTGCCTATACTAACCAACTCATTAAGGAATCAACCGAGCCATTTGACTTATCATATAGATAATCATACAGTTACCTGGCAGGCGCCTTTTGACCAGAATGAGCTCACAGGGTACACGGTCTCGTTGTGGTCCTCTTCTTCCAAAACTTCGCAGCTCGACAAGATCATCCAGTTGAAAGTAATAGATGCATCTCAGCTTCATTTTCAGTTTGATGAATACGTTGTGCGTCCTTATGCGGCAGTGGCTGCTAACTATGTCAACAACACCAGCGGTGGAATGCAATGGAATAGTCTAGGGTGGATAGTTCACCGGGATAACGAAAATACCTTTGAGGTAATCATGTGTATAATATTAGTGGTCATAATTGTTTTGCTTGGACCGATATATCTTCTCTTCCGAAAGCTGCGTCCTGCGCCACGAATTGAAGTCACTGTACCTAATATTCTTCTAAAGGCAACGGAGCAGAGTATGGATTCAGAAGTCCTCGGGAATCCGAAGTTTACAGAAACTCATCCCCAAAAGCTGTAATCAAGTTAGCACAGATATATGCGGCTATTTATGCTAAACAAAATCCATAAAAATATTGTAATCTCTACAAATGCGAGAACATAAAGTTAAATCTCGCAACATACAAATAAAATCTTAAAAATATTATATGTTGGGGACTTTGTATAAAATTATTTTGGAAATAAATACGATAAGGGGCGATGAGGTTGATAAGAGCGCAGTACTTCAGGCTATATATATCTGGTTAGGATAGGTTATGTTGCACTCATAATAGTTTTTGCTAAGTGTTTATCATATTTTTCATTAAATTTCATTTTTCATTAAATTAAATTAAATCTAATATAAACACACAAAAATGAGTAACAACAACAGAACTTCATGAGATGCTGGAGCTTTGTAAAAAAACATGTGCTCGAATAGCGATAAGCTTCTCATAAAAACAAAATAATTCTAAACTTGAGAAGTCAGTCATGAGCTGGATATCGTTCTTACTGGTGTTGCTGGTATGGCACATGAGCTCCTCCAACGCTCAAATGCCATGTATTACGGAATCTGGAGAAGAACTATTACCGAAATTTATTCTAAATAAAACAACGATCTGTTTAGAATGGGAGGATAAGTATCTTGATCCATATTTGAAATGGCAAGTGACGTTGCTGCCACAGAACCCAAGGATCGATGGACAGAATCTGACGCAAAACTATGGAAATTCCAAACAGGAACTATGCTTTACTATACCCTCCTATGCCAACCAGAAGTACGATTTGAAATTTTCGTGCAGCTTTGAGGATCGACTTGATTCTTGGACGGATGACTACTATCCGCTAAGCTTTACAACTCCATCTAGTGTTCCCACTCGCCCTCCGAGTTTTGTCCCCAATGGATTTTTCCAGAATCCGGAAAAGAAGGAGCTTTACGTCTTTTGGGTCCAGCTGAATGAATTGGAGTTTAACGGATCAAACTTTACCTATATCGTGAGCTCAGACACGGGGTAAGCAAGCTTGTCATCATAATCCTATTTCTACTCTAATTCCGTTCCGTTCTTTTAGTGATAAAGCCACCGTCTTGAGTAATTGTTCCGCTTTATTCCGCAACTGGGATGACACGCATTCCACCATCTTGTTCATTCGGAGCCAGAACTCTATGGGACCCTCCTTAAGCAGCAGCCAACTTAAGGTGCCCATTTTAACCTTTAGCCAGGATCACCAGCCGCAGGAGTTGCGATATGAAGAGGACAACCAAACTATATACTGGCAAGCCCCCAAAAACCAGAACGATCTTAGTGGCTACGTGGTCAGCTGGTGCTCCATTCCCAAAAATGTTTCTCAGATCTGCGATGATCAGAAGCCGATCGAGTTTCGGGAGCTAAATGCCTCTCAACTTCAGTTTAAGTTTGCTAAGTCAATGGAGTTACACAATGTAGCTGTATCGGCTAAATACAAAGATCACGTCAGCGAAAAAGCCTCTTGGATTCTTCCAAAAGTAGCTAGAAAGACCAAGGAAACATCTACCCCAAAATGGGGTATCTACGACATTATTTGGAGTGCCATCATCCTAATCCAGGTCTTGATGATCCTCGTTTCGGTGTGGAAACTCCAAAGAGTGCGGAATAAGTCGTTAGACTTTTAAGATTATTGGATAAAGCTCCAAAGATCCAGTTTTAAGTGGAAATATATTAGTTTTCTGTCAAAGAATTTCAAGAATAAAGCTTACGAGAAGAGTAATATCTTAACAAGAGAAAGAGTGTAATTTTTCCAAGTAAAGATTTGTGCGTTGTTTTTTAAAAGATTAAAGTAAAGTTGGCAATCTTATTTATTGTAAGCAATGCTTGGTAATAAGAGTATTTACTACACATAATATCATGATAGAGACTCCTGTTAAGTTTTTTCCACAGACTGATGGTTTAGTCAAAGTCCTCTTCTCGATTACAAAGTCACAATAAGATAGCAAAAATATTTTTCTAAAATTTACTAATTCACCCTTTATTTGATTTATATAAGAAACCCCCAGTTCGCATTTTATTTTGTACAATTATTATTCGTGTTTGTAGAAAATACAAAATATCAAAGGGCTCGAGCACGTTGACACGGAGAAATGGGTTAAAAAACGAATCCGAAGAAATTATTGCACATGTGTGTGGGTCGCTGTGTGTGTTTGTGTTGGGTGTGTGTTGTTGTGTTCGCGTGAGTGTATAAATAAATAACGTAATATATCGAGGATTTCCATAGCAGAAGAAGATAGTTAGCACAGCTCCTTCGTCTAATCTATGTAACTAGGGTAGTATTTCGATTAAGGTTTCTCGGTTAAGGGCTGGATGGATCCGATGGGATTATCCGGGGACTAGCCCCTATTCACAGCTTCCGTATACTGCGGTCCGCCGCAGCCGAATTAAGTTTGGTTCTGTATGGAAGTAAGAGAAGAAAGTCATTAGATTTAGCTTAGAAATATAAAGATAAAGATATATAACAATATAAAAAACAAGCTTCAAATAGTATTAGGCCGAATCTGAACGAATAAACTGAACCTTCAAGAGGAACTGCATTGGTTAGTATATCGATCGGAATGCGATCAAAAACCGAACGAGAGTGTTAATTTAGTAAACAACACAGTGGAGCAGAACAAGGAACGTCATGCGAATGCGCTTTGGCAGCTTACCCCGATTTTCCAGTTGCCAAAGGGTCAACTGGAAAACGCTCGAACCTCTCTCAAAACTGCAGCTGAACGAATCTAGAACCCTGTAGTTTTTATTTTCTTTTTTATATCGAAGAGGGATTGTGTATGTTTTTCTTTTTTAAAATATATTTCTGGCATCAGAATGACCTCGCACATCGCTTGGGTAGCATTTAAGAATGGTATTTCTATGGATTTTTCTGGCTAAAAGGTGCTGTGATGTTGGCTGAGACTTTCTACTCCTCACTGGCCATCCTGTGTCCATGTTTGTTGGTGGTTTTTTATTTTTTGTATTTGTGGTGAGAGGTTTGTGATGAGAAAAAGAGCTCGAATTAGTGCCCGGAAAGTATATACACGAAATGAAAACAGCGTGGCCAAGCGAGGTGAAAGTGCAATGATCTCTGGGATGTGAGCGAAAGCCGGAAAAGCAAAGTCAAAGCCACAGAGGGATGAGTAAATCAAAAATTTGCTCTTGGTAATAATATCAAACTGCATTTGGCGGACTTTAAGGCTTTTACAAAAGAAGAAAATATTCATAACGTTTGGAGAGGACACAAAATAAGGATTTAGTTAACTAGGTTCAGATCTCTCTCTGTGAGTACCGGAAATGACGTTCTGTTTTTGGTTTTTGTTTGGGTTGAGTGGGTGTGCGTTTTTTGTGTTGTGTTGTGTTGCGTATGTGTATGTGTGGAAAGAGAAAAATAAAACGAAATCAATAAATTAGTATTAGGATTTGGCTGGGTGTTTAGCTCCCTCATACAAAAATCAGAAATCCGAATCAAAAAGAGAGGAAAACAAAGCTGGCAAGGAGCGGGAGGCACTTACAGTTCCATGGAGAGCACCGTGGGATTGGGACATGCTTGGGGCGCCCGTATGTGGCACTGCTTGTGACAGATCAGCTGGCAGTCGCGGCACTCGTAGCCCTGCTTACCAGGCCTTCGCGGGATGGACTTCATGCAGATGGAGCACTGTAGGCCGCTTCTGGAAAGTCATGGGAAAATCATTTAGTATTTTGAAGGAAATTAAAGAAGCTGTATAGATTTATTAACTCACCCGCTCAAATGCTTGGCGATGAAGGTGTGATCGTTGTAGATGTGCAGCTTGGTGCCCTTGCGACGCCAGCGCGGTCTCTGGGCGATGGCCAAAGGCACAATAAAGTGGCTAAAAGGAAAACAAACGACATTAGAAAACATATAAGAAAATGTTAGATAGTGAAATATGATCTTAGCTCACCGCTTTATGCCATTCTCAACCGTCTCCAGCACCAGGGTGGAGGCCTCGTGCACGTAGGTCTTATTGCTAGCCGAGGAAAAACCTGAGATGGCCGAGGATTCTGAAATTGAGGAGCGGCGTGAGTGGTCGGTGATGGAGTGACCAATGCCCATGCGGGGTCCTGCGTTTTATTTATTTTTAGTGTGTGTTTTTATTTTTTATTTTTTGTTTTATGACAATTTGTGGAGTGGCACACAAACCAAGCACCCGTTAAGAGACCCATCAAATCATATTTTGCATATGAAAATAAAAAAAAGAAAAGAAAACGGAAAGAGTATGAGAAATAATTAAAATCGAGTCGAATTCATGATTTATCAAAAGGCCATTTGTGAACCAATCGTAAGCAGATCAAATAATTCAAATACCAAAAACCAAATATTTACAAAAATATATATTTTTGAAAAATATTCAAACGTGTTCGTTTTTTTTTTTTGTTGGAATAAAGTGTTTGGTGTGCGTGTGTAGGAACCATGGAATACATACAGATTCGTGTTGTGGATCACAGTTCAGTTAGCGTTTGATGGGGATATAGTGTTAGGGGAGAGAAGATAAAACAGACAACAGATATAGATACAGGTACAGATAGTATAACCATTTAGTAAAGATCAAGCTTTGGGTTAGACAACAACGAGAATACATAAATGGGGGGGTAAAAGCAATTTACACTTAATATTAAAGTTAATCATGAGTTATGAATGTTTTACAATGATTTTTAAAGAATTTTTAGTACCAAAAGATGTCCAACTCTTGACAGACTTAGCCTAAGATAAAGCTACAAAATAAAGTTTAAGTATAGAATATTTCCAGAACCAATAAAAGTGATTAAAAAACGTGGAAAATAATAAGCAAAGAATCCTTCTACTATCTATAATGAAAATTAAAAATATTAAATAATTGGAAATAAAGTGCAGCTAGCAATTATTATTTGGGATAAACAAGTTAAATGCCGTGATCTCGAATGAGATATGTGATGAGATTGAATGTCCCGTCGCAGAGTTATTAGCGGAATGCAGGAGGAGTAGTCCAAAAAATGTGCGTTAAGCTCGGGCTCGAAAAAACAGTTAAAACGTGGACAGTTGGCGGAGGAGGACTGTGATTTGGGTGGTAATTACCAAGTGAATTGCTTTTGGACAGAGTGGCACGATCGACAGATAATGAACGGGAAGAATCACCATTGAGGGTTCCGGTGGCTGTTCGAGGGAATCCGGTGGCTGTTGCTGTATTCGAGTTGGTGGCTGATAGTGACTTATGACTGTTATTATTGGGCTGATCGGCCGATAGGGTACGTGTCTTGGAGCGGCTTAGCCGCTTCTTCAGGGTGCCAAAGAAATTACGTTTTTTGCTGCGCCCGCGATCGTCGACCACATCATGACCCTCAATCAATCCCGAGTTGTGCTGAGCCAGCTGCTGGGCACCCCCATTCCTTGGCAGGCTGCTATAACCACCAGATCCGGCGCCATTGGTGTTGCCATTACCATTGAGACTATAGTTGTTGTGGTAACTACTACTGCCATTGGGCGATGAGGCTGCATTGGGTTGGCCAAACTGCAAGTGATTCGAATTGGGCATTAGAATGGGTAATCCTTTCTAGCTTTAAGATCAAAATCAAACTACATGCCATGCCGGAGAACGTATTGAACTCAGTGTACTTACCTCCGCGGTGCTTTCCTCGTTGACGGTGCCGTTACCTGAATCGTTGAGAGTTTCGCCCAATTGGCTGGCCTTCTCCTCCTTGGCCTGCTCCAATTCGAGCTCATTCTTGGCCTCGTTGGCTGCCCGCTCGAAGGCCTGGGCCACGGCCTGGTCCAGTTCCGTTGCCGTTTCGATCACCTCGATTTGGCCCTCTTTGTTCACCTCGACCTGATCGGTTCGAGGATGGTGGTGGTTAGAGAAGCGGGGTTAGGCGGAGCAAACAGAACGAGAAACATTTTGGAGATTAGCTTGGCTTAGATACTAGTTAGCCTACATGACATGTAAACCATCATGAGGGCGGGATTAGAGACGCAGTAACTCAGGTAACTCAAAAGAACGTTTTTAAAGAGAATGATGACCAGGTCTGGGAGTTTTACCTTAAATGCATTCGGGCTGCTCGAGTTCTGGACGGGATCAGAGACGGGGATGAAATGAAAGAGGCAAAGAGAAACGAAACGGAAATTATAAAACCATAGAACGGGGATAAAGAGGATACGAAATGTATGGAATACATCTGAATAGTCAGTCTTCCAAAGATGGCAATACTCACTCGCTGGACACTGTGGATGATCAAAGTGCTCTTGCTGGGCTGACCACCACTTCCGCTGCCCGAGAGCGCTCCATCCTGCAGAGCTCTCACTGCCGCATCTGCCAGATCTGATCCATTCCTGATGTGTTCGTTGATGGCCGGTGTGCTGAGACGCAGTGCCTCCTTCAGACGCTGGGGACGGGTGCCAGCCGGGATTTCGGCTCCCTCGATGAACACAAAGTCCACAGTGATTGCTCCCGAAACGGGCTGTGTCTCATAGGGTCTTGGCTGGAGCTGCAGTAGCTGAGTGGAAGCTGGTCCCACGGCCAGCTCATCGATTCCAACCAGGCCGAGACCCAGGAACTTGGGCGGATCGGAGGCAATCACCGGATGGTCATAAACCTCAAACAGGATCTCGGCTGATTGGGGGGAGAGTTCACTAAAAAAAAGAGGTACAATTATTTCCAGGGAAAATCTTGAATTCAAAGATTTAACTCACAAGAGGAAGTGCTCATCCCAGAAGGGTTTGCTGCCGCGCTGAGTGCCCGTCTGGTTCTTCTGAGCCGGCTCGTCCATCTCGATGACCACATAAGGATCATGGGCATCCCTTATACCCTCACCCTTGACGATCTTCACCAACAGCCGACGTCCTGAAACCATGTGCTGCGAGTCCCTCAGTCCAACGCCGCCCAGGTGCTGCTCCATGTTGTGCTGTGTGAAATGTAGGAGGACAACATGCAATGAGTGAGTGCAGCGAGAGACACAGAACAGAGAAAGAGTTCAAGGGGTAAAGGTTCAGAGGTTCTGAGAGTGAACAAAAGTCTTGTTTTTTATTTTTCGGGCTTATGAAATTCGCCTTTAATCAGGAACTAATGCGTGACAAACACTAGAAATTGTAATAATATTGAAAGTATTGGTTGCCCTGAAAAGAGAGAGCGCAAAGAGAGTTCTTTTTACTTTCAAGGATCATAAAACGGGGGAAAACATAACGAATTCTCAACGGAGACACGGGCAATGTGGTGTAGAATTCTGAGCTGAGAGAGCGAGAGTTAGAGAAAAGGCGAATTCCATAAACACAGAGGTGAAGGACGAGAGCAATGAGATATTGTCTGTTTGTTTGTTTTTTTTAATGAGAAATCTGTATAGAGAACGAGTCTCAAAGTTCCGTGTGTGATGACTAGTGTACAAAAACACAGGAATACAAAGAACAAGAAACAAAACAGGAGCCTGGCTTCTTCTCACTGCTCCCGACGCTCACCGCCAGCGAATCATAGTGAACGGGATAGATTACGGGCAGGTCCAGAGGCTCCACCTCGGCCCTGGGGCAGGTGGAGTAGATGGAGAAGTCCACTGGGTAAACGGTGTCACGCAAAGCAGTCGTCAGGATGTCGCTGATCACCGTCTGCAACTGCTGTTCATCCTGGTCCATCGCCTTAATGGCACCAACGCTGTTCATCGCAATGCGAACCTTTTGTAAGAACAGAACAATTTTGTTATTAACGGATGTGATTCATAGGCTTAACTTTTTAGTAGAAATTATAGCAATATTTTATCAAAAAGAGTGTAATTTTTAAACTATTTCCGGTTAGGTCATAGTTCTACCAACGCGAACTCAAAACGCAAGCTTGACTTAAGTTAAGTTTGATCTTATTTTGCTGTTATTTTTCCACTGTTAACTGATTTACTCACATCCGGATAGCCCTCCACTCGCATCTCGCCCTTGAGGGTGTTGTAGTTCATGGGAATGGCCATACGGGCGCGGAACCTAGACACGGTGACCTTATAGTGGGACGTCTCTACCTTGCCCGCCTTCTGGCGGAAGGTCTTAACCTGCAGCACTGGCATGGCATCGCAGTCAAAGGTGATGAGCTGTGATAAATAAGTTTTTATAAGTAATTTGAACTCTTAATGAGACCCAATTTACTTACCATATCAGCTGGATTGTTCTCATCGCAATTACAGAAGATATTATTCAAGCCGGGCGCAGGACTGTCTGGTAGCACACGAACCACTTCAACGGCCACTCCGTGCTGCCAAAAAGGGGAGAGAATATGTTTACTTGTTGCCCAAAAACCAAACAGCTTGCGAATTTATTATTCGCGCATTACGTAATTCAGCAGCGTGCGTTTTTTGGAGCTGCGTTTCAGAGACGGGATAATGACTAACAACTGAATTCCGACCTTGGCCCACGACTGGCTCCGATCACGTAAAAGGCGATAAAAAAGTAAATCAGAGGAAAGCGAGCGAGGGTCAAGTCATGTATACCAATTATTAGATACCCTCTAATACAATTTCTTGATAAAAACGTTATAATAGTTTCATAGAATTGTGATAACAGCAAGTTGACTTTAATGAATCACGATTGTAAAGGTGATGTAAAGTGTTTTATAACTTTTTTAAGAGAGCTAAAGGTGACCTAATCCAAACTGCATTTATGACAGTCTAGCTTTATGATTTATAATAACCACAGAAATGAAGTTATAGATTATAGATTCAGCTATAAGCTACCACCTAAAAGTAATTAAAATTCAGCAAAAATATATAAATATTAGCTCTCCCAACTACCATATTTTCCTGCATCTAAGAGAGTCAAATATTAGCATAACTTGAAGTTTACCTATCACAAATCTACAAATAAACAATATACCCTTCGATCCACCAAGTACACGGTGTACCAAAACTGAAAACAAAACGCGTTTCAACATCAGTTACGGCTGAGCGGGTTCCCAGTTCGCTGGCGAAGAGAGGGGGCAGAAAAAGCTGGGAGCCAAGCAGCTGAACATCGATTTCAAGTTGAATGTCGTGGCGGGCCAAGAACAAAGGTTAATGCCCGACCAATAAAGACCAAGTCGGGCTCAGCCATGACATCAGAGACCGGGCCACGAATGATGTCAAAGATGCGAACAGGAATGATGTCATCTAACCATCCTACGAAATCAGACTCACCTCCTCCACAGACTTGCGCAGCGTGTCGTTAATGGCAATCACCCAGGACATGAGCAGCTCGTTGACGATGACCAGGTCGCTGTAAAGCCAGCGGAACACCTGACTGGTCCAGGTGACGGAGCTCTGGAAGATTATGCTTGTTAGAAGGTATTTAGGGTATAAGATATTTTAAAGACCAGATGGGGTAATTTAAATGGAGTTTAATAAGTACTATCTTAAGATACAGATAAAGTAAAAATTTTGATTTAGATTCTGAATAAATAATTTCTTTAATTATTTCTTGATTTGACAGACTTCGACGTATAAACATTACTTAAAGGTAAAATTAAGGAAATATTTTATGTATTTTTGTTAAAAAATCTATATTTTCTTGTATTTACTTTGCACTTTAATAATATTTTAGAAAAAATCTAGAAAAATAATCAATCAAAATCATAATTTAGTTTAACTTTTATCTCAATTATTAAAATTATTTCAAAAAGTCACCTTTTTATAGGTCATATAGCAGGATATTATAAATATTTCTTCTTTTTACAGTTTATAAATATGACTGATAATCCTTATGTCCCATTTTGCTAACCAACTGATCTATATTTGGATCTTAATATATAGACGAGTATCTACTCACCGTTTCTGGACCCACGACATTAGAGGGCGGTGGGACATAGCGCTTCTTGCGATTCTCTGGCCCAGTGGAACTCTGGCGCACCACCCTGCGACGTGGACCGCCGGCAGCTGGACCAGCAGAGTTCAATGGCGAGGCTGAGGAACGACCTCGTCCTCCAGATCCGCCAGTCAAAGGCTTGGATAAATCCTCAACCTTGCTCTTGGTGGCCAGCAGATCACGCGGCTCCGAGAGACGCTTCTCGGTCTTGCCGGCAACAGATGAGGGTGATCCTGAGGTGGGGGACACACTCGTCTGACGACTATTGGACGCACTGGACGTCTTGTCCTTGTTGAGATACTTATGGTAGAGCAGCTTGATCAGCCACACGGAGAAGAGAGCCAGGACGGCCCACAGGAAAATGAAGATGGCCAGGGAGTCCATTGTTAAGTCACCAAGTCCCTCGAACGAACAGATATAGTCATCGATTTGATCTGCTAGATCCATCGTTCAGTTCCAGGGCGAGTTAATCCCACAGATCGTCGTCATCGTCGTTGTCGGTTCTGCGGGAATATAGTCATTATAGTGGGTGTTTCTCATCGGGCGAGAGAAATCGCTGAGATGGTTTTGGGATGAGAGAAATTTGTGTATCGGGGCAGCCATGAAAGATCTAAAGTCCCCCGCTTCTCAATCTCCACTCCCCTTTCATGCTCAGCACATTCTAATTATAGAACTTGTACAATTTTCTTTTGGGAAAATATGAAACGGTGAAAAAATCTGGCCACTCACAAAAAGCACACACAGTCCCAAGGAAGTTTATAATATTAAATTCGATTAAATATTTGAAGTTTAACTTGTTTATATTAGTATAAATATTATTGTCAAGATAAATAAATACGAGAAAAGAACGAAAAATCGAAATAGAAATCTTAGAAAACGGAACTAAACCGAACCGAACTGAAACAGAACTCAACTGAAATGAGCTGCTAGGCATTCGAATCGAATGGAAACGGGATGGTATCTTATGAGATCTTTCCTCTCCGAGGCGAGAGACATTCTCAGATACTATATAGAATCTGTATCTTTAGAAGATACTGCGCCGGCGCCTGCAACTCGTGTCAGAGATGTGAACACTTGTTTTCCATATTGGACTCCAACATTTTCATTCTTTTACACATTTTCTTTTTGCTGGCCCCTCGATTGACGTCATAGTTTTTGGGCTTGCAAGAGAGATGGCACAGAGATGACGTAAGGAGGAGCCACACACACTTTTCTAACGACTTCAATCTCATTGTTTATAATGTGTTTGTTCTGCTTTTGTATTTTTAGACCTTTCGTTGTTTTGTTTCGTTCCGCATCTTCCTGCTTGTGTTACACAGATTTATTAGAAACCATTCGAGAGAATTGGCATTCAACAAAACGAAAAATAGAAAATGCCCTCGTCTTCCCCTTTGGCACTTGTTGCAGTTAATATCTAAAAACATTCATTGTCCGATTCGTGTCCTCGGATCTCATTCATTTTGAAACATTTTTCGTGAAAATACGAAAAGCGTTTTTGGCGATAGAAAAATAATAACAAAAGAGCTATTATGCTGGCGATTATCTGTTTTATATCATTTGTGGCCGTTGTTATTTTTGCTTTTTTATACACTTTCCACGCACGCCATTTAGGCACTGGAAAAAATTACGAAGATATAGGCAAGACAATAATAAGATCTGTGAATAATATATATAGGAAAGTAATGATCATGGCATGATCATCATAAACTTACAAGTCATAAGCCCCATCTGTATTAATTAGTTAACAATCTTTGTCAATCAACATTTTCTTCCACTGCATACCGCTACATTCTTCAGCTTTCTGCGCCACTGATTTTCCACTTGCCTTTTCTGCTTTTCCTCCACTCTCCAATCCCAGCAAGTACAAAACACTTTTCGAGCATTCTCAGCCAGTGGCTCGTTTATTGACCCCTTCGCCATTATGTGGACGCCCAAAGGGCAATGCGGAGGGGTGTGAAAATGGTGGGACTAGGAGGAGACAGGAGGTGGTGCGAGTGAGAAGGCGATTACGAGAGCAACAAGTACTCGCGGTTATTTTTAACCATTGGCAAGCAACACGTCTCGTTCGGGGAAAATGCCGTCTGCCACGCCTCATTTTGGGGGAGGCCAGCAGCCGTAGTACACATGTTCCCATCGCCACTACTGATTGACAGAGATCTGTGATCTAACGGGCGTGTGGGAAAAGTGTCCACATCTTCGGTGGGGGGAAACTCAAGCTGAAAGGCAAACGCAAACTCTGAAGAACCCTCTAATTAGCATAGCAGATGGTAGGGTATTAAATTATTTTTACAACTTGAAATGGTTAACTCTACAGAGATAGAAATTGGACACCATTTATCGAATGTAAGTCAAGCTTATAGTGATCAATCCGATAAACGCATTATTCTCGTACGAGTATATAGAACATAAAATAGTAGAACTTATTCCATAATAAATTGGATTTCAAGTTTTATAATAGGTTATATAAAAGGATAATAGTTACCATGTATCAAAAACAAACCCAGTTTACAGAGAATCAATTAAGACATATTAAATTCAGAAGTAGTTAAAACTTTAATGCCAGATAGTGTGATCACAAATTGAGTTTAATCTGGATTTAAAGTAAGAGAATAAAATGATATTATGGGTAACTCTCTTGTAAAAAAATGGATGATTTGTTGTTTTCAAGATTGAAGATTACACTCACTTTTACGTGTTCTAATTAGCCTTAAACTAATCAAGAAAAATAAACCAAGAATATGAAGATAATGTAAATGTATTTTTAAGAATTTATCATTAAAATATGAAAATGTTCTCAAATCTGACTCTACAAACTAATGGAAATGAAATGGAAATTAATAACAAGCTAAACTAAAATGTATAAGTGTCTACGAAATATACTAGAGTTTGGATCACCAAAAAATAGGAAACTTTTATTATCTGAAATTTCATCATGACTTCATAGATACACCCAATTTATTGATAATATAAGACCATTAATTAACTTAAATTAGCAAGCTTTCAGGTACTAATTAAGCTCTGTGCTAGACAGTTTCCCTGCTACTATAACAGCTTATTGTTGACAACCAAACGGTATTTAATTAAACCCATAATTATGCCTTTGAATTTAAAATAAACTCGCATATATCATAAATTTTCCACGGTGTACACCTGAAAGTTCTTGCAAAACTCATGTGGTAATAGTTTATACGAATATATTCCCAGAAGAGCCGCTGGGCCCGGCTAATTAATGCCAAACTGTGCGGCACATGCAAACTATTGGCCAACTAGCTGCGGCCGGCCCGCTTCCCAAGCTCGAGTTTAATGAGCTTGGGCAACGGCAACAGGTTGCCAGTACTTCCGTTTTAATTGCCACCTCCAAAGGGGTCAAAGGTTGACGGTTGATGGTTGAATGGCCCCGCCTTCCGCTAAGAAAACTCAAATTGCGTCACCTTTCCCTAACATTTTTCATAGAATATTTTTTAGATTCTAAGTATTCGGCGTGCAAACATTTTGAGATGCAAGTGCGCATTGCTAATCACATTCAAATGCGAATAAATATTGAAAATGATTTCCGTTACCACGCCAGAGAGCTAAATATAGAGATGTGGTAATCCAATCCAAAGTCGTTTCAATCCGTGCGAAAGCCGACGATCGGAAAACAAATAAGCCGCAGGCCTGAAGGTCACCAAAAAGTATATATTTGTATAGACGATACGAGCCGAAGAGTAGGAGGGACACTTGAGTCACCTTATCTTATCACAAGTCTTTGTGTTTATCGCATTTAATTGCCATTAATGAATTAGTATTATGACTCGATATGGATCTTGGCACCTCGCCATAAAAATTAGACAGCAAAAGACTTTCTTAGTTGCTCCCTGAATGGGTCAATCAAAAAATATGCCAAGTGACGACACCGCCAGCAGTTTTCGAATACCTCCAGACATGATGTCATTTCAGTGAGTGATTCTTTGTTTTATTCAAATTGATAAGGCGGTGTTGCGGATTTCTGCCTCACAGACACAGACAAAAGAGGGCATAATTCAAAATTATATTGCCAATTGGTGATTACATTAGCAGCTGATTATCAGAATTATTTATTTCCATTTTCTTTAAGTGCTTAACAAGCCCCTGAATCTTACCCAAACATGAAGTAAATCATATGATTAATCAAATTTAATTATAATTTACCTTCGAATTGATTGCTAGATACGCAATACTGCTTATTAAAACGAGTACAGCACCTTTTGTTTTAGTGCATAGAAAGCTCTAATCAGTCATTCATGCATGGAGAGCCACAAATGGAACTGCAATTAACTTTGACCGATTAATCTATTATCCTATGGCAATACGATATCAAATGGTTGAACTTCGCCTTCGCTGTGCCATTTCAAAGTGTCAAGGCTGGGCTATTTTTGGAAATGCGAAAGGAAATAACAAGCCAGCGCAGACGTACAAGGCGTATGCTAGATTTGCAACAAGGTAATGACATTAAGCATACGCAGGTTGATCCGAACATCAGAGTTTCGTCAACACGCAACTGCCAAGACCACGTCAGAGGTCAAAAGGGAAAGGGTCGAAAGGCAGTTGCGTGTTTTACTTTGGTGCTAGGCAAAGTTCAGCTGAAAACAGCAGCAATTTTTCACAACTCTCTCTCTCTCTGAGACAGACAACGATTCGGACCTTTCGACTTTGCCTTATTAAAAAACTCGTTTATCGATCGAAACTGGTACCGAGAACCCATCGATTTTCGCTCTGAGGAAAATGAGGTCTAGGCAAACGAATACCGTTACGCATCCCGCCCAAGAAAAGTTCTTGCCTGCCCGCCCCTTACTCCCTGCCTCTTACTTATTGATTTTTTCCCTCGGGTTCCCATTTCTTATCTCACTGATTGGCCTGCAAATACACTTCGGCGCGGTCAATTTGCTCGTTTGCTCCGTTTACCCTCGTTTGTGTAAAAGGTATTTGAACCCCAGGGCCAATTGTTTTGACCACACATGAGGACCCGTTTAAGGGGCCAGGGTTGCCAGGGCAACCCTTTAATAATTCAAAGCCCTAGCATTGATTTGTCAACGTGCTGTGAGTCCAACAAATCTCAGAAGAATCGTAAAATGTGCTCACAGTTCAGAGCTCCTTTTGTTTGTTTACTCGAAGCATATTTTTCCATTTTCATGGGAGCTTATTTTTGAAAGGAAAAGCTTTGACCGGCAAAGGATGCGCTAAAGAGAGGAAATTGTTGAGAGCAAAAAGTAGAGGAAGAGATGTAAAGGAATGGAGGGGTTGGAAAATGCAGCCAGCGAGTCAGTAAACAACAAATATTATGGTAAATATAGGAAATGTCTTTTTTAACTTTGAAAATATTTTGTTGAGCACTTTGTCTGGGAGTACGGCAGTAAAGAAAACTGGATGCTCTCTTATTACCAATGCCAATGCCATAAAATACATTTTATATAAAGAAAAACATAAGTAAATATTATTCTTTTATTAGTTTTACTTATATTTTCTCGCTTTAAGAGCTATTTTTTGAAAGCTACAAAGGTTAAGGATGAACTGAATCTTTAAAGAAATCTAAGTAACTTTTTTAGATTTATGAAAATCACCAATTATTTCTTATAAATTTCGTATCCTCTATTCATATTTTCCATAACATTTCATAAAACATATTTGCCTTTTTATAAAACCCTATAAAAAAGCCACAAAAAAAAAGCCTTTGTGTAATATGGTATAATATTTCCTTGCTTATTAATATTGAAAATTTCTCCCCGTGAAGACTTTTCCTTTGGCTAGATTTCCTAGCTTTTGGAGCGTCAACAGCCTGTGACACAGTTTCCACACTTTGGGGTGGCTTCCGAAGGGTGGAGTGAGAGCAAAATAGAGAGATGGAAAACTAGAAACGAGGGTTGGAGATGCAAAGCACGCTATTTTAGCCTCTATCGCGCAGAGGATCGCCGTAACGTCTTCATAGACCCATTAACAGAACACACCCAGTATGAAAACCAAGCCCAAAATTGCACAGAAAGCCCTAAGCTTAGAAATTAGACATGTGTGCTTGGGAAAAGGGGCTGTTTTTTGGGGGATGTGGTTGTTTCACTTACCGTTTCATACAACGCAATTCGTAGATATAATTGTTGTTGTTGTGGTTGTTGTTTAATCCGCAGGATGAGTGTGGTAATTTTCGTGGTTCGTGGAAATAAAAATGTATTGCATTATTTAGAGGGAAATTAACCGAAACCGTAGCCACAATTTTCGCTTGTGTTATTTTTGTAGCCCTGTTTTTGCAATTTTTCGCCCGAAATGTACTTAGTTTTTCAGGTGTTAGGGAAAATGTATAAAAAAAGGAAAATGCCCCGTGATTGATTAGTGACAAGAAGCTTATAAATTTTTTTGGGTATTCATGTTTGTGTGTGGTTTGTATGTTGGGCACGTGAGTTAGCTGGCCAAAAATGTATAAAAGTTTCAATAAATTCCAGAGCCAATAATTTCACTGTGCGAAATGCAAATCAATAAAGGAATAGGTTGGTCTGAGGGGGTATAGGTGGGGGTGGTGTTGGTGTTGAGGGACGGAAAAGCTTGGCACACACATAGTAAACAATTTGTATTTTCACTGAATTCTTTACTCACACGGTTGACCGAATTTTTAAGGCCACGTTAACAATTAATATTGCTATGAATTTCGCTTTAATGCCAAAAAATCAACCAAAACGCTGCCGATTATTCTTGTCACAAAAATAATGCCGTTTCGTTTTTAATTTCTTAATATTTTTTAATTTTGTATATTTTTTCTTTCCTTTGTTTCGCTAGAGCGAGACAGAAGATAGCTGCGGTTGTTTGTTGCTCTCGAAGATGATGATGAAATTTTTTCGTTTGTTATTGTTTTGCTCTGTTTTTGTCACTTTGTTCGTTGGGAAGATGGCGATAAAAGAGAATCGGCGAGGGAGAAGCGAGGCAAAGCGAGTGGACGTGTGAAGAATTTTACAAACTTCCGTAAAATAACTAAAAAAATAGGGGAATAAACAATGGATCTTTTGTTGAATTTAAAAGAACATAGAAAACCTTTTTAATAATATTTTCGTTTAGATAAAGATCTTTTTTATCCTATTTTTTAAGTCTTTTCAAGACACAATTCTTAGAGAAATAAACAATTTACAGATAATATATAGCAAAATCCAATTTATTCAAATCAAAAATCCAATGAAGCCTCTCAAGTTTGACCAACTCAAATCGGAATACTTGAAGCCACTCAAGTTACAAAAACTAAAATCGGGTTTTTCAAGTCCGGATTTATTCAAAAAACTAAGTTCAATGTCGAAGGTTGCTTCCGCTTGGTTTTAAAAATTGTTGTTGTTTTTTTATTATCATTGTTTCTCCGCCATTTCAATGTCTAAAGTTCTTCGATAAGAAATCATAACATTCAAATTATGTAGATTTTTTCGTATGCTTTTGTCTGCTCTTAGCTCTGCCCCATACCAGCAGAATTTAAATTTTTAGTCATTTTCACTGCCACGTTACTGGGCCACACATTATATTTAGTGGTTTTTCTATACAAACTTGGCCAACATTTTAGTTTTCCCCCAGCCACTGCAACAACAATAACAATAACAACAACTATTAGAACCACAGAAGAGAGTCAATCGGTGAGAGGAGAGCAATCAGCTGTTTGCAGCATCAATGAAGAACGCTCTTTCTTGGTTGATACCATTTAATTTCGATTAAAGTTCGGCATTATAACAAATTGTTTTGTGTAAATCAAGCACACACACACACACACACATGCACACACGAGCGACAGTTTATATGTTAAATTGTATTTCTGCAATGCTTTTTAAATATTTTGCTGTTTTGTTGCCAAATTTCCCGAAAACACATCCACACACACACGCGACTTTGCTTTCGTTTCATTTATTTTTTTCTTTCTTCAGTTTCTACTCTTTTTTTTTTTTTTTTGATGGGCACTAAGAACATTAAGAATTGCCGCCGCCGCTTTTTTACTTTTCCGTTCGCGAATGAACAGAAAGATTTCTGTTCAGTTTTAAATTTATTATTTTATATTTTATATTTTATTATTCACTTATGTTTACATACATCGAAAAAAGCCTCGTATTCCGTTTAGAATTTTCTGTATTTTTGGCGAGACCCCACGTCCGTTTTCATCGAAATTAAAAAAAAATTGAACACTTCTCAAGTCGCTCGCCCGCTTCTATAGCTATTAAAATAGGAGCTTTTTATAAGAGCGGGTGTGTGCTACTCTTGCTCTCTCTGATAGGCCTCTCCCATCTATCTTAACATAAATGTTAAAACCCATTTCTAAAATTTCTGTTAGTAAACACGCCACTAGCGGAAAACAGAGGAAGCACCTGCATAGATATATTGTGTAAAGTAAAATGGAAACTATTCCTCCAATAATGATTTGCATGGGAGATACTCAAAAAGAAAACCTTCTGATAAACAAATCATTAAATTTACAGATTGGAATATTCTGAAACAAAATATAGACCGATAGTGACTTAACTTAACTAAAGCTTATAAAATAAGATTAAAAAGTGAGGTAAATAATACTTACATGGCTGTCTGTATTTATAGAACTGTAAAAGTTCAAAAATATTTAATAAACAATATTAAATACGCTTCTATATTAATATTTAAATAATTTTTCTTTTAATTAATAAGCGACCTTTTTGAATATCGTAATCTACATTTGTCAGCTATTTTGTTTTCCTCTTCGTCCGCTTTGGCGCTATTGCAAAAGTTAAACTCATATTTTTTAACAGTAAGTTAACGAATGTTTTCTGTTAACATGTTAAAGAGAGAGAGCGGACAAGAGGCCATAAAAGAGGAAAATAGAGAATATAACAATGAAACACTATTTCGAAGAGTGGAAGCGAAAGCTTGAGAGTAGAGTTGCCAGGTGAGCACGAAACCATTTAATGATAAATATTGAATTATCGTTTTATCAACCGTTGATATACAACACAGCATAACAAAATAAGAGTTTATACCTCTAAACTGTTTTATAATTCATTAATTAAATTGCTTTTTACTAGTAACAATTACCATTAGTTCAGAACTTTTTAAAGGCAATCTGTCAATAGTAAAGAAAAGTTAAGCCGAGCTTTCATATCGCTTAACTATAACAACTGTTATAAGTTTTCTGTAGACTATTTGATGTTTAGAATTTCTAGCGGAGATCTGGTACCGCTTTCAAACATTTTTTTTTAATTTTTGGCATTTTTGCATTCTTATTTTTTTGCTATAAATTAACGGTCAACGGTCAACCAAATCGGTTGTCAAGAATTAATATTTTCAAAAATTTCAACCAATTTTCAACACTATTACCAAATTGGCTTCAATAAAACCCAATTTTATCATTAAATTCAACCAAACTTGGTATTCTTAACCCCAATAACCCCAAAGTTTGAATGGTTTAAATGAAATGAAAACACCGACTTGGTTTTTACATACAAACGTTGCTTGTTTATTTCACTTTACGTTCTTTTGTTGAATATGCATATAATGTTTTTGCGCTTCTATTCCGTTCTGATCGCCGCCGATTTATAACTTACGCCCCTTATCGATCTAAGTGAATCCGTTGCTGATTTTTAATATATATTTTGATCTCGAGTCAATGCTGGCTGCTCCTTACTTCTTTCGATTCGTCATCTCATCTCATTGTATGTATATTGAATATTCTGGTTGTATATAAGTGTATAATATATTTAATTTAATACATAAAAAGTTGCGCCCGATGCAATGCGCATCGATTTTCACTTGCTTCGTTTAAAATAGTTTACGTGTGTGTTTTAATATTAAATTGTTTCCATTGTTTTCGCAATGCAAAGATCATATATAAAAATACAAAAATCATAACATTTACATACACACCGGACCGTGTGTGTGGCCGCCATATAACTAGGTATTCCATATACTCTATATAATCATATATATATATATCGACGCAACCTTGCACAGTCAATATAAATTATTGTTAAATTACAAAAAATTAAAATGTATATATGCATTCGAATTATACACAACTACCACTCTCTCTCTCTCACACTTTCTCTTCAGTATAAATAAATTTGTTGTCCACTTAATAAACAATTTCACTTCGTTATGCTTAAGAACTAAACTCTCCATCTCCTTCTGCTTCCTTCTTCTCCTTACCACCTGCCACCTGTCTCTAATCCTTCGTCTTTCTAGCTGTCTGATCCACCTTTCTTTCCGATTTGCTTGGCCTGCTTATCATTCAATAATTTCGCTATTTAGTCTTAGTCGTATATGGAAGTTGAATTGGTACGCATATGTTCAGGATAGGCTTTTCCGCCGCCAAGTCTGAGGGGGTAGGGGTAGGGGTAGGGGGAGGAGTGTACAATATTTAGTGGCTTTCCATTATATATTTATAAGTATTATTTATATTTGTATAATACGCAGCAGTCGTTTGTTAATTTAGCTTTCTAATTTCGCTGTATAGATCGTATAGATCGCTGGATCGCAGTGATTAATCATGTGTGATACTAATGCTAAGTCGCTCAAGCTAAGTCTGAGTCCTGAACACCACGCTCAATTCCGCTTTGAACTGTTTTTATGTTTTTCTTTTATGTTTTTCACTATATATTTCTGATTTAGATTTACTGAAGACTTGCTGGTTCTTAAATTGAGTCGTAATGAGATCGTGTGCTTAGGAAAATGTTATGGTTTTGTTGTAGGAGATACGTGGAGTTTCTTCTTTTTGGAGCCTTGATGGATGACGTTTGTGGAATTGTTTTGAGTCGTAATACTAGTTCCCTTTAGGTTAGGTTAATGAGTAGTCCATATATATTAAACCGTATATATATGTATGTTTTTTTTTGTGGTTGTGTATAGAGAGAGATATACGAGTTCTATGTTTAATTACAAACGTTGTTCATTTTGATTTTGATACGAAACAATTGTAAAAATCCCAGGGAGCATAACAAACTAAAAGATTGAGGTGGGGGGTATAGGTGAGGGGTATGGAAAACAAACGAAAGAGAGGGGTGTTACGAAATACCGAACATTGCAAGCAATTCTCTTGTTCTCACACTAAAATTGGCTTATATACTTATGCAAAATAATGTACAACAGAGTTAGTTATATAACTTAGAAGTCGGTAAGCAGTTCTTCTTCTTCTTCCCTTTAAAATATAATTACTTTGACTAAATTTCTCCTTCTCATTCTTCTCTGCATCTTTGTGTGTGTGTGTGTGTGTGTTTGTGTTAGCCTAGATGTTTTGTTTTAACCTAGAGCAAGTGCATCATAAATATGCGTATCTATGCACATGCCACCGCCTCGTCGTCGATCGATCGTCAACATTCTGGCAATGTTGCGAGCTTCGATCATCGAATACTTCGCGAATGTCTAAAATTACACGACCGGCCGGCCTCTGCTCCTCTCCTGGCTCCTAATCCTGATCTTCGTCCACTCACGGACGACACCAGTGGTGGGAGCTGGGTAGAGCCTGGTGTCCGTTCGCGCTTATCGCGACAGTCATTTGATCTATCTGCGATTGAACTCCGATTTGATAGCTGTAAAGTAATAACAAAGATAGTAAGTACAAGATTCTACGTTTTTCTTATTTCTAGCACCTACCATCTATGATCTCGTTTTTGACCTTCTGGATCTCCAGTCGCATTTCGCGCACTATCTCAGCCTTCAGTGTGTCCAAGTCGCCATTGGAAAGCGCCAGCGACAGGCCATCGCCATTGACCTGCTTTAAGGAAAGAGATTACAGACCTCTGGATTCGGTTTTAATCGGAATTTACACCCACCTTGAGAATGGTCTCCTCGCTGGCACTGCCAAAACGTTTGCGCATGGGTCGCGGTGACTCTCCGCCACTGTTCGTTGTGTTACTTCCAACTCCGCTAGAGTTCCCGTTCGCTCCTTCATGACCACTTCCAGTCGAACCGCTTCCAGCCCCTCCACTCAACTTGTGTGGCAGCGTATTGGACTTTTCCCAGGGTCGCTTCTTTACCTCCGGTTCAGGATCGGGCTACAAAAGTGAAGTAAATTTAGTTACAAGATTCTGGATATTGATGTAAGATCTACTCACATCTTTTTTTTCAGCTTGGGCGCGTCGTCTTGCCAGCGTCTTGGCCATCTCGTCCATCATCGAAGCCATGCCGTTGGAGCTGCGTCCGATGGTTCCATAGTTGCCGCTACCGCCACTGGAAGTGCTGCTGCCGCTATTCTCTGGAGCAGAGGGGGTGGTCTGTAAAGTCAAGATTAAACATAAGTCAAGATGTAAAACTAAAATAAAATATTACCTTACCTTATTTTTTTTGAGCTTGAACTGTTGGAGCTGTGAGGCCAGCGAGCCCATGAGATCTGCCTGGGGATCATCTTTTTTTGGCGCTCCCAATCCAGGCGGCGGAGGCGGTGGTGGTGGTCCTGGAGCACCAGGGGCACCAGGAGCTGGCGGTGGTCCACCCATAGCTGGTGGCGCCGGAGGAGCCGGCGGTGGTCCGCCACCCATTGCTGGCGGCGGCGGTGCTCCGTTAAACATCTGTGGCGGGGCTGGTGGCGGAGGGCCTCCACCAGCAGCTCCGCCAAAACTGGGTGGTGGCGGGGGCGGAGCTGGAGCCGGTGGACCGCCCGGTCCACCCTGACTGCTCATCCTGTTGAGCGGCACCTGACCGGGCTGTTGCTGCGACGGATTCATTGGCGGCGGCATGGGCACTTGGCCATAGGGATTCTCCGCCTGCTGCTGGGGCGGTGGAACTGGAGGACCTCCATAGCCCGGACCCGGCATCGCTGGCGCTTGAGGTGCTTGTGGATGTCCCTGGGGTAGCATCTGCTGCTGGCTGGCATACACGACACTGTTGGCGCTCGCGGAGCTCGGTAAATGGCCATGGCTGACCATGTACATGCCACCATTTTGGAGCGGCGGTTGTGGCGCCTGCTGCTGCTGCGGCTGCGACTGCTGTGTCGGGTATTGGTGCACAGTGAGATTGGGATTAGAATTGGAGAGCACGTAGTGGGGTTGCTGATACTGCTGTTGGTGGTGTATGGGTGTGGTGTTTCGGGGTTATCAGGAGATTCAGATTCAGTGTCAGATTCAGGATCAAGCCAATTTGCCAATGAAATGAAACAGAAATACCGCAGAAATGAGGAATCTGGGATGGGGTGAGGTTTTAGCATTTGGATCATACCTGATTGGGCGCATAGCCTCCTTGGACCTGGACCATTTGCTGATATTGCTGTTGCTGCTGTTGCTGAAACTGTTGCTGTTGCTGCTGTGGGGCCGGCGGTATCTGTGGATTAACCTGCTGTGGCAGGCCATTGGATGTCGGTCCATTACCAGTTGCTCCATAGTGGGATCCCGGCTGACCCATCTGCTGCGCCTGCTGCTGTTGTTGGGGCTGTGGTGCCGGTGGGGCGCTGAGGGAATTCCTTTTTGGTTGAGAAAAGGTTCGGCGTGGGATGGGTATGGATCAATGAGTGAAATGAGTGATGAGACACGGAAAACGGATAAAAAATGTTGGATGATGTTGCACATGGTGGGTGGATAGGTAAACAGTTTCCCCATTTTAGTATTCTATTTTCAACACCTTTTGTATATTTTAAACATTTAAGTGTCTATTTTTTTATTCAGAACTAACTAACTCCCAATAAAATGATAACTAAGATGGATTTATGTTTAAGTTTAAGTAATTTGTAAACCATTAATATCAGTTTTGAATAACGGATAATGGAAATTAAGAATCATAAAACGTAAATGTTTAAAGATCGATAATCTTTCTGGTAAATTGTATTAATGACTATACCCTTTGTTCTTTTTAAATTGGATAAAAACATCGAAAAGATCTAAGCTAATGATTTTCCTCTCTATAATGAGCATGGCGTATCCAACACAATTAATGGAAATGGAAATGCAACCTACCTGCTGGTGCGGTGGTGACCCTGGGGCGTCGGCGGGCTCTGGGGGATGTTGTTCTGGTTGGTCTGCGATGTGGGCGTTTGGGCCGAGGGCGTGACGTGGCCACCTATGCTGTTGTTCTGGCGAAGAATGGCCGCATCCTCGCTGGTCATCGTGCGATAGCCCATATCCTCCTCATACCCATTGCCATTTGTGGGCGGTCCACCTGGATTGTTTGCCACGCGACCACTGAGAACCTATAAATATTTATTTTAAATTTAGAAAAATATATTTACTAGTTTTTATGGTAGATCTACTCACTTCCAGGGCATGCATCATGGCTCTTGCAAAGTTCTCCGCATCGTTTTGGCTTGAGAAGTTCAATCCGTAGACGAACTTTGAGTCGCGCCATTGATGAAATGTGGCCGTGGCCTGGTTGTATTTCAGTCCCTTCAGAATGGAGCAGTTGATCACGACCTCGTGATCCTGCAGTTTTCGTCCCACTACCCGAAAGGTGTTGTTCTGCTGATGATGGTAGATCTGCACCTTGCTCAATCCGGACGAACTGCCTGAGGGCACCCACTTCTTCTGGTTGTCATCGTACACCATCACAGAGGCACGAGCCCCGATAATACTCTGCTCACTGAAAGAAAAAATTGTGGAAATTTGTGATTAATTGCGTAACTCATGCGGGATGTAGGGACCTTGAATGAGTGAATATAATGATAAGGACGAGTATTTCAGTTTAAGCAAAAAGATGATAATATATATGGGAAAAGCCCTTGCCTTAGGAACAAGATAAGGGAAGTGGGTAAATTCACTAAGTTTATAGATTTGAATTATTTCAATTTACAAATATCCCAAGTAAATGAGTCTTCATCAAAAAGGAATGGGAGTGTCTAAAAACTGACTCGCATTATACATTTTGGGACCATGATTTATCATTTCAGAAATTTTTTAAAACTTAGAATGATCGTGGGAAACAGAGCGGAAGTGGTGCCAATAAAGTTTCTAATTAAGACTTCTTTATTATTTGCACTTAAGTGAGTTTAATAAAGAGAAACCAATTTGTAGATATTCTTTTCATGGGATAAGCAGTAAAGCAGTAAAGATTAATGTCAGATTTGTATATTTTACAGAAATATACTAACAATGTTGATGTATATTATTCATACTATAAACTATAATGAAAAATTAACGTGATTTACTTTAACAAAAAGAATGTGCTTTCGAAGAAATCGATTTCCCGACTTCGACTCGATTAAGACTTCCCAGAAAGAATGTCGCAATGAGAAATCGTTTTTAGATCATTAGAACTGCTCTATAGAGTTCCCCCTTTACAGAGCCATTCTACCAAATGCACTTTACTTCAGAACGATCTGCCACAGACTTTTCACACGACTCGAGTGTAAGCAAGGGCTTTGATCTATGCCATGCCCCTTCTAATCCCCAACCCCGAGATCCAGGACAGGAAGTGCAATGCATTTCTTTGTATGCTCACACACCTGTCATGCAGCCAGCCAGTAGTTGATCGTCTCGAGTCGCACGGACCTATTAAATGATTCTAATGAAAGTTCTAATATGAACGTATGTTCGTATGCTCACAACCTTTAGCATTTTTTTTTATCCCCCCGGCCAGGCAGTGCAGTTGACAATTAAAGTCAGCCACAGAGTAAACATGGCCAGCAGCAAATGAACGCCTTCATTGGAAAAATGCAAAGGCGATGACGAGTTGCCTTGCCTTTCCTCAACTTGACTGTGTGTTTCTATCCTATGGCTCCGTTTTTATTTTTTTTTATTTTTTTTTTTGCTAGCCTGCACCGCTCCAAGTTGCTTCAAGTTGTGTGTTACTGGGGGACAGAGAGATAATGACAGAGAGCAGCCGCCAAACGAGTCGAGTCTGCAGAATTCTCGCCACACAGACTTGGCCCGGCCAAAAGCCGCGAGTAGTTTTGCACTTAAATGGAGTGCGCAGATCGACGGACCAGACTGCTGGACAGACGAATCTCAATCCGAATCCCAAACTCTGGCCACAGCTGTGCGCTGTTTCAGGGCCTTATATAACCAGCCAACAAATCGGAGCTGAGTCTTATGAGCCTGCCTGCTTCTGCGGCTTTGATTTGCATCGAATTCGTGGCAACGAAAGTGAAGTTTTTTTTCGCACACAGTGAAAAACAGCATAACAATAGCGGCCAATCAATTTTGAAATTTATGTTTTTACAATCAAATCGATTTCAATCTAATAAATTCGATCATACATATCAAATAATAATTAAAGGAAGTCGGCTTAATCATTTGGCAGAAGTGATTTCTTTGTCTTCGTTATAAAACTGAGTAATATTGTAATGTATTTTATTTTTTATAAAATAATATATGATTCAAATTAAGAATAAGTACGTTAATAAACCAGATTAGCCAATAAGTTGGGATTAGTAATGGATTCTGTTTGTGATTCATTGCGAAGTTATTGCTGCTATCTTTCGCCCTCAAACTACCACGTAAAGTTGCCTAGTACGTGCTTAAAGTGATATTCAAACTTTAATATTAAGCTTTAACTATGATTTTCAATGTGACTCAAACCTATTAGTCCAAGAATGGCAAACCCTATCAAAGTAAAATTTAAACATCTCTTACAAAACTGGGAAAAACTGCTAAGGCAAAGAGGAACAATTTTAACTATTTCAGATTAGATCAATAATATGATAAGCTAAGATATCAAACTGTTGAAATGAAAATACTTTTATAAAGTTCTTTAAACAAAGTGCAATATAATTTTTATAGTTTCTATGATAAATCACCAATTGAGTATATTTTCTGAGTAAAATCCATTCCCAAATACAATCTTAAAAAGTTTTTTTCGCTGCCAGCAGTGCAGCTGCATGAAAAACCCAAATGAAAATCGAAAAGTGGCCAATAAATGGGATGCTCAGCCCATAATTGAGCCACTGGAAATAGCTCTGGGAGCGTTTTCAATATGTGGCAGGTGAAATTTTTCATGCCAAGGGGATTTATTCGTGCGTTAAGCTCAAGTTTTGAAACTGCAGCCAAGTGCAGATGCAGATTCGTGTGCACACGAAAGCGTTTTCCACCTTAATTGGCGTTAAATTATAATTATGATTAAACGAAGAGAGTGCTGGTGTGTGGGGTAAGGTAAAGTGGAGTGCTGGTTTTTTGTGGGGTTAAGAGTTCTTTGATTTCCAACCGATCTTGCTAAGCGGGCCTGAGTAAGACGAAAACGAAAAACGCATTTAAATCCAAGGCCAAATACTACGTGCTGGGGAGTGGAGAAATATATAGAAGAGAAAAGTCAGGGAAATAGGGGGAACTTTTTGGTTTTCGAGACAGAGAGAGAGAACCCAAGGACAGACGCTTAGGGAAGTGGGTTACACATACGCAAAAATCGCTGTAATGCCCCCAATGAATTTATCTTTGACCGAATTATGGCGACGTTGTAATGTGTAGTGTTGTTTCTGTTGTTGTAATTGTTGTTGCTGGAGCAGATAATGATGTATGTTGCTATATAGATGTTGCTTGTGTTGCTGCTGTCCCTGCTGCTGATGTTGATGTTGTGTCGATGATGATGTTGCTTGTGCTGCTGATGCTGTGGCCGTTGCCGTTGTGGTTCTAACTGAAAACGACACGGAGCAGCCCAGTTTGGTTGAGGGTTGAGTTTTCGAGGGTTGGTGATTCGGATTCACCGAGGGATTCGAGGGCGAAACGCATTTGCGCAAAGTGGAAAAGATCAGAGAAGATGAGGAGGATGGGGATGAAGTTAGGGTAGTAGATGAACTGGCTATCGATGTGGCTGCACTTGATGAATCTCTTTGAGCTGCTGTTGGTACATACAACATTTGATCCTGCTGCTGCTGAGATCTCTGAGGCGCCTCATAGATGGGTCCTGCCTTTGGACTAGCCTTGGGTAATTGCAACACCAACTGCTGGTGCTCATGGTAGCGCTGCCTCAACTCCTGCTGCTGGTAATGATGATACATGGGATGACGATAGTCCAGCAGATCCAACTCCTGCAGCTCCTCTATGCTATAATACTCCGATTTTGAGCTTAAGCCACTAACTTGTGGCGACACCTTGTGATGCAAGCTCTGGCTACGCTTGATCATCTCCCCGGTATTGCCAGAAGCCACCTGAAATTCGCACATGCCATTTCCCGGCTGCTGGTGGTAGGCCAAAATCGGCGAGGAATTGGCGGCACTCGATGGCTTCTTGCTGGTGAACGAGGTCTTGGCATAGAGCTTCTTCATGGCCATTAACCGTTGGCCAATATTTGCAGAGGCGTCACAGACACTAAACAGATCCCACGATCGGATCCCACACGTAAGCGCATACACGATGAAACCAAAACGATCGGATATATCGAATTTATGTTTGCCTAGGCTCTTGCCTTTTGACTGACTCTCTGCCCACTGGTCACCGATCACCGAAGACCGATCTCTGAACACACCCGAACGCACTCAAGACCCGCTGGAGACTAAAGCCAAGATCCAGACCGAGATCGAGACTGGGTCTCACACTGCCCCGATCTCGTCGGAGTCGACTTCCAAGACAAACAAAGCCGAGAAAAAAAAAGGCGAATGAGCCAACAAGACGAGAGCAAGAAAATGAGAATCGACTCACAATCTGTGTTTTTCTCTCATTTTATGCGGCTGCTGCGCTTTGAATTTTGTCTAAAAGGCAAATAATTACACTTCAAAGTCAATAAAATAATGAGAAATGATGAGATGTGCTATGGCTGTTGTTCGCTGGAATGACCCCGAGATCGTAACCGAGCATAATGGCCAGGTAGATAGTGTTAGCACAACCTGACTCACAGACTCAACTGAAGATTCCCAAATGGCATGACAATTAAAAGATGAAGGGAAGTAGACTAGAAAGACTACTGGTAAAAACTATTTAAAAAACATCCTCTTTTTACACAGTTTGGTAGATTATATAGAAGATCATAATAAAAATGTAAAATATTTTTATTTCAGATTTTTTCAGGGAGAGATAATATGCCAACTTTTGAAAGGGACACTAACCTTTCATTAGAAATTGTTAATAATAGTAAACACATATTAATGCATTTTTAAGACAATTCACAATCATTATATGCTTTAAGTTTCTTATAAAATATAATATGCATTTCTAAAGGGTATGCGATAACTGCTCGAAACTTACAAACCTAAGCCTGGGGCCTTTTCTGCTGCCAGTCTTTAAGCCGCGTCGACGTCTCGTGACCGTCGTTTAACCAGTTCGTCATTCAGTCACTCAGTCAGTCTGTCCATTCGTCAGTCGGTCAGTTTGAGATTCAGTGAGTTAGTTCCGTCCGTCAGTGCGATAATTACTTAAGAAACGAGCTCAATAATTTATATTTCCCCCTCGAGTCACTATTACAAGTATTTTTCCCTCTCTGCGTTTTCCTTTCCTCCATTTCAACTGTTCTTTGGCGGCAAAAAGTCGAGATTAGGGCGGACAACAAGAGGAAAACCTAGTGCACAGCTAGCTAGTGTAGCATGTTATGAAAAATTCATATATAAAAATTCGAAATCTCAACCTGAAGCACTCAACTCTTTGAGATCTCAGTTTCTGTTTCTGACTCGTTGGCGGCTTATGTTTCGGTGTGTTTTTTTTGCCCCTTAACAATTCTTAAACGTAATTTCCAATTAACATTATTGTGGCCCGTTGTAAGGGGTTGTGTAGTGGCTGTTGGTGGTTCACCGATCTCTGATTTGAGCCAGCCGATTATCGTCTAGCTTTAATGGCTCTGTCAGAATGGTTCAGTTCAGTTAAGTTTGGTTTTTTTTGAGACCCGAGCGTGTGCCGCGGCTTAAATGATTTGGCAACTAAATAATTCTCTCGTTTCCAAGGGGCAAAACCAGTGTGAGTACTATAATCCATATGGCTGTCTATAAAAACCCGCAGGCAGACATCGGGACAGAAGAAAACAACAACAAAAAGAGGAAAAACAAACAGGGCCCACACATGTGAGCAGCGGAGTCACAGCGCAAAGTAGGTTGCCAGGCAGTCAGGAGACTGAAAAGAGTTTGCCCAGGGCAAACAGCATTGGACTGCTGGGGGTACGTGGGGTCTCAATCAATATCGAATATCACTGCGCGATAAACTCGTCACGGGAGGAGCGCTTCCTGCCGTGGCTACACTGAGAGAACATAATCACTTTCTAATTAGTACCCACATTTTAGGGTTCTCCGCTTGAACAGCTTTTGTGACAAATATTTCTTACCCTATATTTCTATAAACCCTTTTTTAATACTGTTAAAAGGATGATAATATTTTATTGCTCTCTGAAGAAAAATAAAATAAACTTTATCAAGAATATTAAACGCTTTGTGTTCTTTAAATGGCTCGTAAGAATGGAAATTAAAAATTTAAAGATTGAGTTATCTTGGAAAATATTATATTTTAAAAAGTATAATTAAATCAATTAAATCATTTTACTATTAATAGTAAACCATAATCATAGTTTGTTCTCAATTTAATATGTTTTAGAATATTCTTCCACACTTTTTCCAAATTGTTAGTCTAATTTTTTCTCAGTCTATCAGTCACTCATAAAGCCTGACAAAAGCCTGGATTTGGGTCACACTCCGGCACCTCCTCTTCAACCTCCTTATCCAACGGCACAGGTGACGATATGTTGGAGTCCATTCAGCTTATTGGGACCGACTTCAATCAAGCTCGAAGCCGAAAGGATTAAAGTTGAGTTCAGGAAAGGCAGTCATATTTATATATCCACAGTCCCGGTGACTTAAACCCAAACACAAATATTGCTCGGTAAAACCGTAAAACTCGTTTCGTTTGTTACCGGTAAACATATTCTGTTTGTCAGCAAACATTAAGGTTTTTAGGTATAGATTTTTTTGAAAAACGTTTCATTCTTTGAAATTTAATTTGATTAATGCACTTTGATAAGACCAGCAATTATGGCACGGCAATTAGGGAGCACTTCACCGATAGATGCATTTTATAGAAACAGGCGCCAGTTGCATCTGCTGCTCACCTATACGGCAGACTTCCATCGAGCGGCTCCGTGGGACAAATGTTACCCATTGAGCGGCGGAATTTCAACTGGGATATCCAGCAAACTGGACAAATTCTGGGTAAAAGCTGCGCACAAATTAAGTTTAAAGCACTCGTTGGCTAAGCTGACCGGATTTCCTTGGAGACACAACATTTTAATGATGACACACCCAAAAAGTAGAAAAAAAAACAAAATAAAACGCAAACTTGCAACGCTTTTTTGCTTATTCACAATTCATTTATCGTAAGGGGATGGTGATGTTACCAGCTTTTCAGTAAGCAAACTCCCCAAATGGGAAGCCGCACCCCGCTTTTTAGACCAAACAAATTATGGGGATTAATAAACGAGAAGCTAGGCTGCTCCACTTCCCCAAAATTAACCCCCTGCCCATCCCGAAGGAAACTTGGGTTTGGGTTCGCCATAAATTCTGGCAAATGAGCTTCCAAAAAAGGTCGACCCATAAATTTCGCAGGCATCAATTTCGAGGTGTCAAGTAAACTAACTTATGGAAAATGGCTAAGGTGTGAGCATCCGGGAATTACAAACTCAATTACGATGAAAGCATTGAAATTGTCTTTTGATTATTAATAAAAACTGGAACTATTCAATTACTCAATCGATGTTATTCCTAGCCAACATTTAAAAGGTCTTTAGCTGTATATAAGCCTTACTTATATAGTAAGAACTTGCAGTTTATAATAACCCTTTTTAGTTCCTCATAAAATCCAACATAAAAGGTTGACCCATAAATGTCATAGACAAGCACAATCTTAAGGTGACAATCAGACTTTCAGAAAATGTGAAGCTCGGCGAATATGTGAATTGAACTCAATTTGAATGAAAGTCAGAAATTGTCGTTTGCCTAATTGAAATGTCCTTCGCGAGCGATTGACAACATAACTTGTATCTGGTAGCTACGTGAGTAAGTGTTATTGTATCTATTCATTGTCAAATGTTCTGGCCGTGTAAACTTACGTCATTGCAATTTGGTTTGTGTTGTTTTCCTAGCTGGCTTCAGCTGTGGTTTCTCTTCGGTACTTTCGGCTGTGGAGGGAAAATCGCTTCCAGTGTTTGGCTTTCCAAGGGTATGAGATCTGCAAAGACCGGAAAAGAAGGAGAAGATACAGATATAGATACGATTACGGTTGGTTAGCTCGTAAATCAAGTGCAGGAGGCCGGTACACACGTGTATACCACAGATACCACTTCTTCTTCTTCTTCTTCTTCTTGTGTTGGGAAAATCAATGGGAATATCCCCCTTTTTCCTGTCTAGCTAAGTTTGCCAATTTCCTTTTAGCCCACGAGTGGAGCTGTGAGAGTAGTTGTATGCCTTTTTCCACTTAACTTGCTTTGGGGAAAACTAATCGAACCGCCCGTGTTGGGGCCCTTTTTCTAACCGAATGGCTATGAATTGATATTGGCCAAATCATTTTGGCCACACCGAACACAATATTTTATGAGGCATTTGCGTAATGAGGCAATAGCTTTGAAAGCAAACCAAAAAAGGTAAACGAGAAAAGAGGTCGATGAACTTGAAGATAAAATGTAATAAACTTAGTTTCTTCTAAAGAGTAACTCCCATCGATTTATCGATATTTGGGAACCTTGAAAACCGCACCAGAATAGAACCCATCAATTAACCATGGGCAGCAGTGAAAGCTTGGCTGATGAATTAATAACCCGCGCAGAACAATCAACTCGGTATTAGCAGCAACCTGAAACGAATTGCCAGACTTTTTCTTTCTTTCTAATTTTCTTTATTTTTCGGGCAATGACAAGAGACACGAGTCATAATGGAAGCCGCAATAAACAAAAGTAAAAATGGAACGAGGCATTTGCATTTTAGAGGCGGAGAAAAAATCAGGTCAGTGCTCTAAAGAAGATCTGGGACGCCCCTCGCAAGAGGGCCAAGAATTTTGACCCAGTTTTCTCTCATTCCCCACTCCCCACTCCCCGGAACCACCACTAAAAACCCTACTTACGTCATAGAATTCCGCCTGGAAAACCTTCATTCAAAAGCACGCACTTGTAGTTCTTTTTTTTTACCCGGAAATGTTTGTGCAACATTGCTGCAGCGAACCAAAGAAGTGGGAGGAGTTGGGTGACTTTTTAATTGGAAAAATGTTGAAAATGTTGGTAGAGAGTATGAATTACCCCTGCGTTAATAGGACAACATTTTACCAGTTAAATTTTGCATACTCCGAAATGAAAGAAAGCCATTGAAGGGCAACTTAAAGGTGTGGGTGGAAGATGGGAGGGTATTTCGGTACTAGGCGCACATGTGCTGCTTCTTCTTGTCAAAAAAAAAAAATATGTACACACACCCCCGAAAATGACGCCCCTGGGTAATTATCCAAAATAAAAACCTTAACAAAATAAAACAAACAGAGAGCAAAAATGAAAAACAAGTGAAATATTTGGCACTCGGCAAAGAGGGAGGTTAGACATAAGGAAAAAGGAAATAGAGGTTGTGACCAAGGGTGGTTTGGGACAGCAACCCCTGACCAAGAGTTTACACTTTAGACTGGCTCTCTTTGGCAAAGGGAGGAAGCAGTCTAAGGGATCAAAGTTCTTATATAGAGTAAGTTCGAATTTCAATGTTTAACCCGATTCGAAGGGTGACTACCGCATATATCGCTTGACAAACTCAATTGTGTTTACGTTTTTATTGTTTACCTAAACAAATTCTTAGAACAATATTATGTACCCTTAGTCAAAGTACAAAAATAAGATTTTTATTCACCTGTGAGTAACCCTTAATCTATATCCACTGTACTTTTAAGCAGTTCTAGGAACTCTTGCTAACTCTTCTTTAGACTCCTATTTAAAGCCATTTTCCGGGAATTTCCACTACTCCCGATGATGTCAGTGGGTTAGGAGTTGACTCATTTCCCTCCTCGCGTGTTATTAACAATTTGTCAGCCCGAACGGAACCACTCTTGTGTCCTATTCACAGGAGAGTCGGTTGAGTCAACGCTCCTTCAGCCCATTCCCTACAAACTCTGGATTCTCCCTTAACTCCACTTTTTGTTAACCTGCAGTTTACTACACCTTCTACACAGAAAACTAATTTCACTACTTTAAAGCATATCTACTCGGTATTTTAAAGACTTTTCTTTTGGAATTGAAATTAGCAAACATTAAATCTAACTTGGTACCTAGTAAATTATATCATAACTTGTATAATAATTAAATATAAACACTCCATTACCTGTCTTTATAATGATGTTTAAGTTATCACTAATTAACTGCAACAGAATTCAACATGTGCTACTTTTTTGCAATGTAAAATACTGAAAATACCATTTCTAAATTACAAATTTTTAATTTAAATTACCTTTTTTGGCTCAGTGCCCTCCATTCATTTTTCACTTGCAGCTCATAAAAGTCGCAACGAATCCTCATTAAGTCTGGCTAACTTTCCGTGCCCCCTCCCAAACTCCCCCTTTCATTTGTCTTCTTGCCACTCGCTTTATGCGGTAATTTCTGTTGTCTCCCCTTTTCTGCTTTTTGCCTTTTGCCCCCCAAGGGAAGTGTTTCAGAGTAGGAAGCTTGGATGGTAACTGGTTTTGGGGCCAGGCTTTGTCTGCTTCTCTTCGGTTTTTTAAAGTCATTTGTGGAACTCCCGACTAGGGACTTTCGGTCAGGGGTTTTGGGACCTGTGTCCGCACACGTGTTGGCCAAATGGAATTACTCCACAATTTGACTGCTTATTTGGGTCGCACTTCGGTACTTGTGATCTTCGCAACTGAAAGATCTAATTGATCGATTTGCGAAAGGAGCTGGGCGATAATCGATGGATGGATGGATTGGTTTTAAGAAGAATGAGACACATAGTTTCGGGATGGGAAAATTGTGTTCCCGTTGACCTGAATTCCCAGGCATATCAAAAAACATGGGGCTAGCCAAGCGGCAAGTCATCATTATCATCATGATCTTCATCTCCGTCTTGGCTTCTTTATTTTCTGTGTTTTGCCTTTGGCAGTAGCTGCAAATTAAAAACACACATATCTACAAGTTATAAATTTTGCCAAAGTTGTTGCATGTTTTTCTGTTTTTTGTATTTTCTTGGGGCAACCACTTTTGTGGGTCAGTGACTTTCGATTGTGGGCGTGGCCATCGTCTAACGTCGCCCTAGCCCCAAATTAACCCTAGACAGCCGATCTTCTGTTTTAACTCATTTCGTAGATCGATCTTCGCTCTGATTCGTGAAAATTGAGGAGTGGTACTGGCATATTTGGAAAACATGCATTTTTCCCCGTTCAGCGTTTTGCTTCAAAGCGTAAAGTTAATGGAGCGCGGCAAATGTTTTTTTTGTTCTTGTTGTCAGCGATAATTATTGAATAATGATTCAATTGTCTGTTGTCGTCGGTAGTGTTGAGGAATTTGTGTGTTCTCTAGCTGATAAAAAACAACAAACCAAAGAATGAAGTCTAACGTTTCCCACTACAAAAGGGGAAGTCCATTAAATTATTACACTGTCACTGGCACAATGGAGTGCGGTGCCTACAAATTCTGTCACAATGCAGCACCAGCCCCTCCGCCTCCCATTCCCCCCGTGGCTTTTCCACAATCCACTGGCGGTGCACAAAGTTCAAGTGGGGAGCATCATAAAAATATCATAATCATAATATAATCTAAAGGGAAGCAAGCGGGTATGGTTACTTTGGGTAAACGAAGTTTAAATACCCTTTAGTATTAAGGCAAAAAGTATGTTATAAACTAGCATGCCTTAAGCTAACCGTTTTTAAAATATATTGCATACCTAAAAGGACAAATGAATCGGTTGTTATAAGATAATTAATTCGAAATTTTTTAAGCCATTTTTAACAAAGAAACAAAATTTAACCTATCATATCCTACATAATAAGCCTATAATATCTCCTCAAAGGGGATCACAAATCCAGAAAAAATGGGAGGGCCAAAGCATGAGGAAAGTGAGAAAAAAACAGAGAAAAGGGGCGGGGAAAGTCACTGCAATTGAGCGAGAAATAACAATAGAAGCAGAACGGGAAGGCAGCCAACAAAAAGAGTTCAAGTTACAAATTGTCCAGGAAGGCTGGAATGTGTAAAGGGGCAAAAAAGAGATGGATACAGCGGGAGAGAACGAGATAGACGAGTGCAACGCCACCTGTGGGCCATTCTATAGACCGCTTAAGATCTGGGAAAAATAAAAGGCATCCCAAGAACAATCTTAAAAACTGCAGACGAAGGCAAGAAACCCAAAATTGAAGTTTAGTGGAAGCTTTTAGTCGCAAACAAAAACCAAAAAAAAAACAAATCCCAGGTCCTCGTCTGTAGACTGCACCCCACCCCACCCACTTTTCACTTCCCAGTTGATGGTGTTATTGTTGCTGTCGTTTTATATTTTCCGTTTTCGTTGTTTTTGCCGATGTTGGAAACTTCAGACTTGAAGACCGAGAGACCGGAAGCACTTCAAGTGCTTGCAATTCCGTTGAGCAAAGTGCGGGGGCTATAAAAAGGGGATCAAGGGGAGAAGTTGGGGTGGGTTACAAATACAAAAAAAATAAAAATAAAAAGCGGAATGGATTGACTTTGCAATCAGCTTCGCCTGCAACTTCGACGCGATTTGAATTTGGTTTCCATGACCGCCCATCGTTGGAAAACCAAGCTATGTGAATATCAGTCCCTCTATAATTATGTTTTCCTAACTGAAACTGAATTTTAATATGATCTCAAAGATACCTTGGTTAAATTTATAAAACTGAACCAAATTTGGTAATTTAATACTTTAATTTATGATTAAGTAATATGAATTATATAAAACATAAGGATTTCTAAAATGTAAAAAAAAAACATTTCCCCCTCTTCTGACACCAAAAATAAAAATATTTTTGTGATTCATTTTACTGCAGAAACGGCATTTAAATATTTTTATGTATACTTTTATTTTAGCCTTTGAGTCTCAGCAAATATAAATCTCAAGTCTACCCGATCTGTATTTATTTTGGTTTTATCAGTGGAGCACTTCCCGTTTTCGAGTCGAGGGAAGCCTTCATATTTGAAGATAACTTTTTATCTGAAATATTTGTGGGGCCTTTCCAATGCTGTATGATCTTGCCACATCAAATCG